CGTGTGCCTGGACCTGCCCAAAGCCTCCGTGTACCAGGTAGGGCCGCCGGCCCGGCGCCGCGTCTCCTCGAGGCCGGGCCCGGAGGCCGGTGGCCGGGTACCCTCTCCGATCCTCGCTCCGCCCTCCGCGCCCGCGGGGCCCGCGCCGAGCCCGGAGCGCCCCTTTCGGCCTCGAGCCCCCCTTTTGGCGCTCCGGCTCTCACTTCCCGGCCTTGGCTTCCTTTCTTCCTTAGACCCTGCCTCTCTTCCAGGTTCCGTCAGGGTCCCTTCCTCGAGCCCTCCCCGCCCCCTCCGGCTGGCCGGGCCGAGGGCTGCGTCCAGGTGTCCGCGCTCCCCGCCTCGCCAGCGCCGCCCCTCGCTCCGAGGCGTCCGGGCGCCGGCCGGGGCCTCCGGAGTGCCTGGGTTCTGGCAGCCACACCCCCAACCGTGTCCCTCTACATCTGAACTCCTGTGCACATCTTTTTCTGCTCATCGGAGCCCTGTTTCCGTCCGAAGAACAGGAAGAAGGGAGGGGCTTGTCTCTTCTCTTTGCTCCTCTCTCCCATCCCTGGTCTAGAGGAACTCGCCTGCAAGACGCCCCACACGGGCTGGCTTTTAGGCTGCCAGTGCCACAGATCTTTCCTCATCCTCGGTTGAAGACCCAGTGTGGCAGCTAGACTCAGGGTCTTTGAGGGGTTCCCTGGTCCAGGTGGACGCCTTCTCCACCCTGGTTACTCTACTTCAACATTCAGCCTCTTGAAGAAGCAAAGCAGGATTCCCTGTCAGAATTTTTTCCCCCCACTTCCCCCATCCGGGAGTCAGGAGGATGTTTCTTTCCCTGCTTCTGTTTAGACTGGAGGCTAATCTAGGTTGTTACTTCTGGGTCTCCAGATCCTCTTCCGGCCTGAGGACACAGGTGACCAGGACAGGACACTCACCTTTCCGGGTGTCAGACAGGAGCCAACCAGGTTGTTCTCAGCTGCTGATCTCAGTTCTAACATTTACCCCTTGCTTTGGAGGCCATTTGAACCTGCTCTCCTCCCAGCTCCTTTTTCCTTGCTGTATCTTCTTGGTCCTCCCTGATGGAAGAGTTCTTTTTCTGGGCCTTGAGTCAGACTCTAGCAAGACAAATCAGTGGAGAGGGGAGTCTTGTTTTCTCTCCTGTGCATGGGCTGCAGCCGGACCTTGTGTGACAGGCTTTTGGATGCTGGCTTCTTGGCCCACACATACAGCCACCACTTCTGCTCAGAGCAGATGATGACCAGGCTTCTGAGACTGGCTGGTTCAAACCAGCCTGCCCTATGACGAGAGTGAGCTCTGGCCTGGGCAGCTGAAGGCAGGCAGCTGAGCAGCTGTAGCATTGTGATGGCAGGAGCTGCCCTTCCAGGCTAGACTGCCCAGCAGCTTCCCTGGATGCAAACCTCTGAAGGAAGCTATGGGCATTGACTCTGAGCTGTGGTCCTGCCACTTGTCCCTGCCCCACCTGCATTTTCCCCAGGTAATATGTAGAGCAAGGTGTTTCCCTTTGTTTACAGAAGCCCAGAATCAACAGGCAATGAATTTGAAGGTATGGTTGTGGGAGAACCCTAGATAAGTGTTGGAACTTACTTGGACTAAATGTAGATACTATATAAGATAAGATGGGAGGGGCTGGGGGAAGGAACAAAGCTTCCTGTTGTCTCAGAGCTTCCAGAGATGCCTCCATGGCCTAACAGCACATGCAGTGGCCCTGGAGGGCTTCTGTTGCTATCCCTACTGAGGTTCTATGGGGTCTGGGTAGGTGTAGAGACTGGCATGTTCTACCACTTTAGCCCTCTTTAGTGACCCTTATTGATAGGCTGTCTTCATAGCCCGGTCTCCACCTTCTGCTCCTGCTGGCAACATTTTGCCTGACCCCAGCAGAACACATGGCACTGGCTAGGTGCCAGCCATGCTGTGCATCCTGGAGGCAGGCTCTGGCAATTGCTGTGGGGTCAGAAGAGTTGGAGAAAACCCTACAGAACTCTGGAGTTAGCCGAGTGCATAATGATTTCAAAGGGTATCAGCCAAATGTCAGTTGTGCTGACAGGGAAATTTTAGATGATGATAAGAGCAGATGTGGGGTATAAGCATTGGTTCATATACCTGGTCCTGAGACTGAGCCCTTGCATCCGCACGCAGGGCCAGCTTCCCTGTGGCCTAAACCCACTTATGCACACATCAAAGGCTGGGGAACTTGCTCTGGTGTCAAGCAAAGGCTCTTACTGCTGTGGCCCTTCATGTCAGGTTAAGGGCCACAGAAGGTGCAGCAGATGTGTGCTTTGATGTTCTCTGTGTGGGTGTTAAGTGTATCTTGGGTAACTGGCTTGGCAAGATGTACATCCACCTCCCTGAGTCCTGGGTGAGTCCTTAGAGAGTCCCAGGGAGGCACCAATGGATGTCTGGAGGGCAGCAGGAGCATCCACATAGGAGCTTCTGGATACAGGAAGGCAGGCACATACCCTGCTTTGGGTGCAACCCTGAGACCTGGGGCAGTGTGACCTATTGGCAACTCTGCTTATGGAAATGCCTCTTCTGGGGAAGACCCAGCCTCAGTGGTGCCTGGGATGTTACATCCATAACCTTCCTTGCTCCCCCCAGCTGTCTTGGTACAGCCTTTCATACAAGATTCAATGTGAGGTGGGCACAGGTGGCTCATACCTATAATCCCAGCTACGCGGGAGGCTGAGATCTGAGGATCATGGTTTGAAGCCAGCCCTGGCAGGAAAATCTGTGAGACTCTTATCTCCAGTTAACCACCAGAAAACCAGGAGTGGTGCTGTGGTTCAAAGTGGTAGAGTGCTGGCCTTGAACACAAAAGCTCAGGGACGACACCCAGGCCCTGAGTTCAAGCCCCACAACAGACAAAGCTTTGATGTGGTCCTCCATGGCATAGATGCAGCCCTGACCCTTTCTGTGGATAACAGCCAGCCTAAAGCCTTAGCATTGACATGTTGAGGAAGACACATTAGTTATTCTCACCCTTATGAACTCATGAGTGCAGGGATCAGTGTCATTTGGGGGTAGAAGGGCTCTAACAGACGAGGTTCATTTTGCATCTGGGATGGTGTTTAGCTGCTCCCTCTGGCCTGCCCCCTGTGGCATCATCCTGTCTTCTGCTAGCTTTTTGTCCGAGCTGCCCTCACCACATCCCTGCTCACCTCTGCTCTTCATCTTGGGCTTGTCTGAAGCGGTATGTTTTTTTAGGGCCTTCTTTTCTCCCTGCCACAAGGATTCTCATCCATGTCCACCTGACTCAGGCAGTCTCTGCTCTCAAGGGGAAGAGTTCATACGTTTTAATGCGTTTGCCTCTGCATCTAGTCTCAGCATGGGGGTTGATTACTTGGTTGGCAGGTTAAAGGCCTAGGAAGCAGAGGCAGCTCCGTCTCACCGCTCACAAGGCCTGAGGTCTGTTACCACTGGCTAATGAGCTCTGGAAATAAGTCTGCTTGGTGGTCCAAAATTCTGGACTAAGCCAGGGGGGTTCTAGAGTGTAGCTAGATTGTGTCTTTTGTAATGGTAGTTTGTCATTTTGAATTACTTTTAGACCTGTTTATTTCTGAGGTGGAATCACACTCCAGGGGTTCAGTAGGTCCTTCCTGAGTCCCAGCATCAGAGAGGTTGAATGCAGCTGGCTAAGAGCTTAAATCTACCTCCTTTTATATTTATATTTGTTTTTTATTTTGGACAGTACTGGGATTTAAACTCAATATCTTGTACTTGCTAGGCTGGTACACTACCGCTTGAGCCAAGTCTCTACTAAGAACTTCAAATCCGCCGGGCACCACTGGTGGCTCTCCTGTCATCCTAGCTACTCAGGAAGCTGAGATCTGAGATCACAGTTTCAAAGCCAGCTCAGGCAGGAAAGTCCATGAGACTCTTATCTCCAAATAACCACCAGAAAACTGGAAGTGGCTCTGTGGTTCAAGGAAAGCACCCAGGCCCAAAGTTTGAGCCCTACAACAGACCACCTCCCCCCCCCACACTCTCCCCCCAAAAAAGTCAAATCCAGCCTGGCACTTCTGCCATGCTGAAGTTCATGTCCTTCCTTCTTTCTGGCTACATGACTTTGGATAAGGAGCTAATCCTGTTAGGTCCATGGTTGACGGAGGAGGTTCAAAAAGCTGGATTAAGTATGTGGATTATAACACCTCTAGGTGCTACTGAGCCTGGTGGAGCTTTGCCTGCACCCTAGACACTGGAAGACTCTGGAGAGGAAGGGAGCCTTCACCTGGCTGAGCAGTGCTTTGGGGTTAGTGCAAGCAGCTGGGTTGCAATTTGGCACTAATGTTCTCTATCAAGGGCCTATGGTCCCTTACCTCCTGAGCAGGAGCATACACTGTCCACATGGGTCTGAGTGCCAGCTGGCATCAAGTGCAAAGAATGAGCCCCCAGGGTTTCAAAGGGGTCCTAAAAAGTCAACCGACTGTGAGGAGCATATAACCAACTGGAAGTCATGGAGGCTGTTCCTAAGACTTGTTTATGGCCCCTTGAGCCCAGTGAATCTATCCAATTCCCTTAACCCAGAGAAAAAGCCAGCTTAGATGGATCTGGCCCAGGTATGCATAGGCTGACTGTACATGAACTACCCATAGCAAGGCAGAGGGAAGGACTAGGTGCCGTTCCAGAGGTGTGGGCACAGATGGCTGTTCATAGATTACTTGTGTGTACTCAGCATCTACAAAGGACCTAGGACCTCAGCTTCCCCGTTGATAGAGCCCCCAGGGGCTCTGCCATGGAAGGCCACACATGGTATTTGTTCTAAGCCTGCTTTGGTGTGGGTGCCAAGCCTTGCTGCCAGCCCTGTTGTCTCCCATCTATCAAATTCATCACTTTGTGCACCTGAGAAAAACAGTCACTCAGCCAGGAGTTGGTGGCTCACACTTGTAATCCTAGCTACTCAGGAGGCTGAGATCTGAGGATCACAGTTCAAAGCCAGTCCTGGCAGGAAAGACTGTGAGGCTCTTATCTCCAATTAACCACCAGAAAACCAGAAATGGTGCTGTGGCTCAAGTGATAGAGTGCTACCCTTGAGCAAAAGAGCTAGGGACAGTGCCCAGGCCCAGAGTTCAAGCCCATGATGGACAAAAAAAGAAAAGTAAGAAAGAAAATAAAGAAAACAGTTACTCAGAGGAAAATGATGAGCCCAAGGTTGTTCTGTTGATAACCTGTGGAGTGGGGCCTGAGCCAGCATGATGTCTACCAACCAGCACCTTTTCTGGGAGGTCCTGTGACATCATCCTAGATGATGGGTCCAGGATCTTCCTTGCTGCTGGTGAGTAAGGCAGACTCACCTAGACACTGCAGAGGCTGTTTCTGGAGGCCCCTGGGCTCTTGGGGGCTGACGTATAGTATGTTATATATGGGCTCTATCACCGGCACTGCAGGGAGTAACCGGGGACCCAGCTTCTGGCTAGGCAGTGGGCACAGGTCTGGGCCCAACTACTGTCTGGCCCAGCCAGTGTCAAGGCTGCATATGTAGAGATTGAGTCTTGCTTAGGAAGTTGTGGGAAGGCTCTGGGGCATGATGACCACCTGCTATGGGAAGAGGACAGACTGGTCTGGGTGTTGTCCTCTAGTTTACCTAAATAGCATCCCTTCAGCAGTAGGTGAGGTGTGGGCTGACCCTTGGCTAGGACAGTATATCACAGAACATCTTGGACCTTTCTGTGCTCAGACCTAGCTGAGCTGTTGGGGCTGTGGTTCTCCACATCCCCTCAGCTTGTAGAGTCACCAGGAGGCCCAGGGGAAGCCAGAGGAGGACAAAGATCAGCACTTATCACTAGCACAGAACTGCCTGAGCCTGTGTTGGCCAGAGCTGGCTGAGATTCTGGTGGCACTCTGTATGGGGAGCAAGTGGTGACATGCTTAGTGGCCTCAGTGCTCTCTTGGAGAGGGGCCTAGGACACCTTTCTGAGTCTCCTGGGCTGCTCAGAACCAAGAGGAAAGGCTCAGTGGGCTGAAAGGTAGGAGTTAGTGTCTCCAGTCAAGCTTTTTGAAAACACTAGGAGAGCCAGGCTGCAGCCAGGAGAAATCTGCACAGGCTGATGGACCCTGGACGTAAGTGTACAGAGCCAGGCCCAGATCCTCATCCAAGACCTAGGCAGCTTCTCACCAGGAAGGGCCTGGAGCTGTCCATGTGGATCAGTGTTGGGATAGCGAGTCCTAGGGGGTCTCCCTGCTGGTGACCTGTTGGGTTACCCCGTCCAGGGATGTTCATCAGGTGCTGTGTCTCTGGCTTCACTTCCGGGGGTGGGGGTGGGGGGGCGGGGGAGGGGGAAGCTCCTGAGCTTTCCCTCCCTGGAACACATGGTGATTTGGTGCTATGCTGTGTCCCTACATGCCTTCCAGAACCCATAGCAGCCCTCAGCCCAGACAGTGCTCAGGCAGGTAGGGGCTTTCAGGACCTGTGACTTGGGTTCCTTGTGCTTTCCACAGTTGTGCTGCTTCCAGCCTGGAGTCCACTCCCACAGGCTTCTGGGGGCGGGCAGGACAGCTGGATTGTCTCATTTAGGACCTGCCTCCACCAGCCTCCTGTTCACCAGACTCAGCTTAGCCAGGTCACACTCCTCACCAGTAGTACACATTTTAATTTTTAACTTTACTCAGATTTGAATGCAGATAATATGTGGCATTGCTGTAGAAGCAAGCCTTTCATGTCCTCAGCAGATTCTATCACTCACTGGATCTCAGGCCTGGCCTGTGGGGGCTAAAAGAGCCCCTGAAGCAAGTTTCCAGCTGAGGCTTACCAGCACCCCACCTGTGCAGGTGTGGCACAGTCAGGCAGCTCCTCCCCAGGGCACACTGCAAAAAGGCATCTGTGTGGTGCAGCGAGCGTCAGGCCTCCCCTCATACCGCAGCCCCTCGAAAGCCAAGCCCACATCTATCCTGTATCTCTTGATGGCACCAAGTGGCCCTCGTTGTGTTGGGTGAGTGAGTCACCTGGGATGGGAGTGCTTTTGGCAGCCTGCTGTCCACTGAGCAAGGAAGGGCCTGGCTCCTGCTGGCCCTGCCAAACTCAGCACATGTCTACCTGCGTCCCTTCCTCACCTGCTTCCATCTTGGGCCAACTCAGCTTCCTGCCTGCCGCAGCTTTGTCCCAGGGCTTCTGGAGAAGTCCCGACGGGTAGCTGCATTCCCTGGGTGCTAGCAGCACTGGCCTTCACCACCGAGGGCTGGCATGGATGTACGAGGGTTGAGGTCAGCTAGGGCCAATTCTGGTCCCCTTGTCAGCAGCCTTTCTGAAAGCCAAGGAGAGGGTGCCTGCCTCAGTACAGTCAGCAGCGGCCTCTGCTTCCCTGATGGACGGCTGCTAGCTAAACACTTCTGTTGTGCCAGGCTGAGAGCTGGCGATTCTCGTAAGTCAGGAAAAATGGAAAACCAGGCTTCAAGTCCTGATGTGTTAGCTCAGTGACAGTTCGGCCTCAGGTAGTGGTGCTCTTCATGACTTGAAAAGACCTTGCTCTCCACAGAGCCCAATCTGGCATGTCCCCTTGGAGAATCTCAGCGTTTCTAGACACTAACTCAACTTGGAGCCAGCACACACGCCTTTCTTCATAACTCAGGTCCCTTTGGACAATTGGCCTGACCTGGCTGGAGCCAGCGGGCAGGCGGCACATGCACACGCGAGCCTCCCGAGGGCCTGTGCGCTTCACCTCCCTTTCCTTCTCCGCAGTGTACTAACGGTCACTTGATGTGCGCTGGCTGTTTTATCCACCTACTAGCAGATGCCCGGCTGAAGGAGGAGCAGGCCACATGCCCCAACTGTCGTTGTGAGATCAGTAAGAGCCTCTGCTGCCGAAACCTGGCTGTGGAGAAAGCTGTGAGCGAGCTGCCCTCAGAGTGTGGCTTCTGCCTGCGCCAGTTTCCCCGCTCCCTCTTAGAGAGGCACCAGAAAGAGGAGTGCCAGGACAGGTAACTGCTATTGCCAGGGGTCAGCCACACTGGTGGGGGCTCAGGATAGGGCCGAGAGCCCACCCTAGTAAAAGTATACTTGAGCAGGAAGACCTGCCTGGTCATCATCGGCTACGAGTATTGTATATCCACGAGCCCTACTGTCCCAGGCCGTAGCCACATACCAGAGTTACACGGGGTCCAGGACCATGGTCAGCAGCCACTTTATTGCCCAGTAAAGGAGAGACCCCGCAGCAGTGGATGCAGGAGGCATGCCAGCACACAGATCCTGCACTCCCCCTCGCCTTGCTCCCTCTCCCTTCTCTCCATCCACATGTACACAAATGAGTGCTCCGAACCCATCCTGGCTGGCTGGGGTTACCATTCCATGTGCCTGTAGGGAGAGGTTTGCGGTGGGGCAGACATGGTCTTTGGAGGGTAGCTCGACGTGACTGCCTGTCCCAGACACGGGCATGACCACTGTGCTCACCTTCTTCCAGGGTGACCCAGTGCAAGTACAAGCGCATTGGCTGCCCGTGGCACGGCCCCTTCCACGAGCTGACGGTGCATGAGGCTGCGTGTGCTCACCCAACCAAGACCGGCAATGAGCTGATGGAAATCCTCGATGAGATGGACCAGAGCCACCGCAAGGAGATGCAGCTGTACAACAGCATCTTTAGCCTGCTGAGCTTTGAGAAGATTGGCTACACAGGTGAGGCGCCCTACCACTCGCTGCATGCTGCACAGGTGCTGCCTGGGGCAGAAGGCCCGGGGGCGGGGGGGCAGGGGGCACAGGCTGTGCTGGAAGGCCAGTCTCTGTACAGCGCTTCTTGGCCAAGAGGATACCTTGGGGAAGAAGACAGTTTGGAGACTGAGCAATAGGATAGGCTGACAGGGCCCTAGGGCACACCTGCCTGGCTCTCACAGCAGCTTCTCCCCACCCTGGCCCACCCCAGCAAGGTGGCAACCCCGCTGTGAGCAGCTCCACAGACTTGAGGTGGTTGGAGTCTAGCCGGGAAGTGGGGTGTGTCTCAGGGAGGCCTGGGAGCTCAGGGTGTCACCCTCGGAGCCTGGACCAAGAAGAGTTCTCCATCAAGTCAGGCCCTGCCTTCAAATGGTCCCTCATGTGGCCACACCATCTCCTAAGGCTTGCACGAGCTGTTCAGGGACAGGGCTCCAGAGCAAGCTGAGGGTGCCAGCTCATACGGTAGAACTGGGAATGGAGACCCACAGATGGGCAGGCCGGACTGGGCTATGCCTGTTGGATCTTGTGGCTCGCCTTTGAACATGTCGGGGAACAGAAGCCAGGCCAGAGCCTAGGCCAAAGAGCAGCAAGAAGCATCTGCTGACATTGGGGCCACTCAGGGAAACTCCATCCCTCTACTGCTCGGCCCAGGTGGCCGTGCTCAGAGTGCCCAGGGCAGTTGGGCAGCCAGTCATGCAGAGCTGCCCAGACTGAGCCCGGCTTTTTGTAGGCCATAAAGGCCAAGGGTCCAGGGGACTGCACCAGCAGGAAGCCATGGCCCAGGTTAGGAGCAGCCCTGGCTTCTCTGACCGACGGTGGGGTCTGGGTGAGCTGGGACGAGTGGTTGTGGCAGGGACGCAGAAAGGACTGGCTGCCTGAGAGTCCACGCCTCCACAGAGAGAGACCTGCCAGCCACAGGCTGTGGGCTCACAAGAGGACTGCGCAGGCAGGTCTGCCCACTGACTGATGGCCCCTCAGATGGCCAGGCAGAGCCTGCATCACAGTGCAACCTGAGGACCCTGCGTTCCCCTCAGGCAGGACCAGGCGTCACGTGCCTGCCCGCCGGCTTTTCTGGCAGCTCTGTATTGGAACCAATAAAGTGCACTTGTTCTCAGAACTGCATCCTGTCTGTGTGTCTGCTTACCCTGCCCCTGTGGGGCACTGGGGCTGAGGGTGAAGAGGGAGACCCTGTGGGTTGGCCACACCTGAGATGTGCCCCGACCTCCCACAGCCTCGAGACTCCAGTTAATTGGTACTAATTCTGTTTGTAGTTGTTTTCCCTCCACCAAAGCTTACGCGCCTCCATTGCCATAATTGCGTTGTCTTGCCTTGTGACAAGTAGAGCTGGCTGGGTCCGGTAAGTCGCCTTCCTCCCTGGCCGAGCCTTCCTTGGCCTGGTCGGAGAAGGCACCACCACCAGGCCCTGCCCAACATTAACAGTTGGCCGTTTCCGGCCCTGTCTGTCTCCACAGAGGTTCAGTTCCGGCCTTACCGCACGGATGACTTCATCACGCGCCTATACTATGAGACGCCGCGGTTCACGGTGCTGAACCAGACATGGGTCCTGAAGGCTCGTGTGAATGACTCGGAGCGCAATCCCAACCTATCGTGCAAGCGCACGCTTTCCTTCCAGCTGCTCCTCAAAAGCAAGGTTACAGCACCCTTGGAGTGTTCCTTCCTGCTGCTCAAGGGCCCCTATGACGATGTGAGGATCAGTCCCGTCATCTACCACTTTGTCTTCACCAATGAGAGCAATGAGACGGACTACGTGCCGCTGCCCATCATCGACTCCGTGGAGTGCAACAAGCTGCTGGCTGCCAAGAACATCAACCTGCGGCTTTTCCTATTCCAAATACAGAAATAGGCCGGGCCCAGGATGCCCAAGGAGCGGAGGGCCATTGCCAGCACCGCCGTCCCACTCCCCCCTGGCTCGGCAGCGGCTTCACACGACTATCTGATCATTTTAGCAAAGGAGAACAAACCAACCAAGCACTGGGAAAGTCTGCATGCGTGTGCAACAGGGTCCCTGCCTCCAGCTCACCCCCTTCACCCCTGCCTCTCCCTCCTGCGGGCAGCCAGAGGCTGGGCTGATCACAGAGGAAACCACTCTGGGCGCCCCAGGCACACAGGGCAGGCGGCAAGGTGGGTAAGAAGCCGGCCGCCTCTGCCCCAGTCCCTACCCTCAGCGAGGTGGGCTGCCTGCTCTGGTTCCCTGGCTGGGCTCAGGGGCCCTCACTGACTTCAGACGGCATATTTGATTGCAATTAAAAAGGCAGCCTTGTTTCCTACTTTCTGTTTTGTTGGAGGGGAAGGCGTGGCCGTGAACAGACTGTGTGGGAACTTTGGTTTAGCCTAGGAGTCTAAACCTTCCCTGTCTCCCACCTGTGTGTGCTCCCCAGGAAAGACTCAGAGACACTGCCGGGCACTCTGGTCTGTCGCAGATGTTGGGAGGCCTGTCCAGGGAAAGCCAGGGAGGGTTGGGGCTTCCTCAGCCGCCGGCTGCAGGAAGGCAGGACTTGACCACCCAGGGCTCAGCAAATGTTTTCGGAACGCAGGGTGAAATTGTCTTTTCCCAGGAAAAAAATTAAACTCTTTACAGGCTCTTCTATAAGTGATGCAATTTTAGTGAGAGAATCCATTCACGACTCAGCCTTGAGTGGAGGGCCCTCCTCCGGGCGGGAAGGACGCAGCCTCAGCTGCTGGCTGTCAAAGTCTAGGCAGCTGCCCCACATGACTGCTCATCTTAATTGGGAAGCCACTGCCGGAGTCAGGCAGGACAGTGGCTTGTTGCCTGAGGGAGGTGGGCCCTCTCCAGCCTTGACCTCGCCATTCTCCATTCTCGGAGCCTGAGTAGGACCAGTGTTTGGGCCTCACAGGGTAGACAACAGCCCTTCATGGAGGGTCTGAGCCTGGTTCTTCCCGGGGACCTCCGAGCTACTGTGAAGATGAAGACTTACCCAGTTCAGTCCTGCTCAAGAGATGGGGGTCCTCTGTGATCACTCTTCGTTTCTTTAAATACCAAAGAACTGGTTTCCTCTGTCCTAGGCAGGCCGCCTCAGCAGCTCCCCTGTAGGGTCTGGTCCCCCACTGCCACACTACCGCATTCCCATGCTCTTCCACGTTGAGAGGCAGTGTCACCCTAGTTGTATGTGTGGCAGTCATTATACGACTGCCCCTGGATCTCCGCCTGCCTCTGACCCTTAGGGCAGCAGGCTGAGAGATGCAGAGAAAGGACCAGACCGTGGTACAGACACAAGCCGATTCTTGAGCATGGCTAGGTATACAGACCAGTGCAGACCTCCACATCAGCTCTCCCTTCCACCGCGACCCTCTGCCCCCTCCCAGGCTGAATGGTTCTCAAAGCTATTTCTGAGGGTCCTATGGGTGGCTTGCAGGAATTCGCTCCTGCAAAGCTGACCTGACAAGCCTAGGTTGGGAAGAGGTAGGAATCTGCCCTGTGCAAAGGAAGACCTCACTCCTGGTCCCAAAACCTCCATGGGAGCATGGCCTTTGACTTAGACACAGCCCTGCGACTTCCCCTGGCCTCGGGGAAGGGGGGTGGCCCCTTTCTCTCTCTCTCTCTCTCACACACACACACACACACACACACACACACACGCGCGCGCGCGCGCGCACACAGAAGCCCCTCTAGCTTGACTTGTGCTGCGTTTGGTGTGAGGGCGGCTGGCAGGTCTTCTGAGGCAGGGAAAATGGGAGGACTCGCCCAGGCACTCTCAGGCTGCAAGGACATAGGGGTGGCAAAGCTCTCTGTGAAGGTCTGTGTGGCTGCTGGGCTGGGAGGCCATAGGAGGATGGGGGCCTTGGGGCTGAGTCCTGCAGCCCTGCTTGCTGGGACTGGCAGCCCTGCATGGGGTCAAGGGACAGTGGGGCTCGCCCAGGGCACACGGGGATGAGGCAATGCCCTTCCTAGGGGTGTTATCTATCTTAGGGTGTCAGGGAGAGCTACCAAGGCATCCTCCGTGTGACCTCTGCACTACGGCTTTTAACTGAAGCAGCAACCTTGCGGCCTAGGGAAGAGAACCTGACACCAGAAGACTAGCACATCTCAGATATGCTGGAGATGGCACTGATAGCCTGTGGCATTGTCCCTGTGGGCTCTTCATTGTTAGGGGCACCACTTACACTGTCTTGTCTCCAGAACCCTACATCACCTTGTTGTCTTGAGCTGGTCTTCTATCTGTCGCTCGGGGATGGGGGTGTCAGCTTTGGCAGATGTGGGGGAAGCCAGGAGGACATAGGCCAGGCCAGGACTCTCCCCTCCCCCTCTTACCCACTTCCTGTGAGCACTCCGTCCTTCAGATTGCCCAAAGTGAGACATTTACAAAATTAATAAAATAATTTTTTAAAGAGCAGAACAAGAAGTGTTTTATGGCAGTTGGAAATGACTTACAGGTCACTTTTGTGGTTTGTGTTTTCTTTGAATATTTTCTGTATGTGACTATCCTTTAAAAAAAAAAATACTCCAAACCATGTGTTGTCTGTGTCTCCTTACCAGAATACAACCTGCCTCCTGGGCTCTGCCAGCCTCCCTGCCCAGCCCACACAGGCTCCAGCCCAGGCCTTCAGCTCTGTGTAGCATCTTCTGCAGTGTGTAAATGGGGCTCCTGGGGGCTGCACTGTCCTGTGGACTGTGGTGAGAAAAACAGTTCATATTTTCCCCAACAACTCTGGGGTACTTCTTCCTGTCCTCACTCTATTTTCCTGAGCCAGTCTCTGATTCTGCACCTTGTTCCTCATCCCCCACTCCTCTTTCTTCATAGTGCCCTCACATACTTTACTAGCTTGCTCTTTCTTGACTTTGGAACCATGATGAGGAAGGGCTTATCTCTGCAGACCTCCAAGTCATGTCCTAATACCTCAGATCCAACTAGAAGCCTAGCACAACACCTCACCCCCCTAAAGGTGGACTACCTGCATCCAATTCCCTCTCTCCCAGCTTCCCCTTCATAACTCTGTAAGTTTGGTCTTGCCCACCCTTGGAGCCCAGCTTCAGCCAGTACCAGGCCAGCACTGCCTCTTGTCTGGCCCTGACAATCTCTAGGTTTCTCTTCCCTCCATACCACTCTCCCCAGTAGGTCATGCTGTCAGCTAGCTGGAAGTTATACTTTGTTGTCTGTGTGTGTGTGTGTGTGTGTGAATTCAGGGCACTGAGCTTTTTGCTTAGGCTAGCTCTATACCACTTGAGCCACAACTCCACTTCTAGCTTTTTGGTGGCTAACTGGAGATAAGTGTCTCATGGGCTTTGCTGCATAGGCTGGTTTCAGACTGTAATTCTCAGATGTTAGCCTCCTGAGTAACCAAGATTACAGGCTCCATTATCTATTTTGATCAAAATAGAATATAAAACCATGGGCTGGGAAGGTGGCTCAGTGGTAGAGTGCTTACCTTGCATGCATGAGGCCCTGGGTTCGATTCCTCAGCACCACATAAGTAGGGAAGAAAAAAAAAAGCTGGAAGTGGCGCTGTGGCTCAAGTGGTCGAGTGCTAGTCTTGAGCTGAAGAGCTGAGGGACAGCGCCCAGGCCCAGAGTTCAGGCCCCACGACCGGACTCCCCCCCCCCCAAAAAAAAAGAATAGAAAACCATGTACCAGTGGTTCATGCCTGTAATTCTAGCTACTCAGAAGGCTGAGATCTGTTCTGAAGGGTCATAACTTAAGCAGAAAAGTTCACAAGACTCCCATCTATGAAATAACTAGCAAAAAGCTAGTGCAAGCTGAGCAAACACAAGATCCTGAATTCAACCTATCTATCTCCCACTTCTGAGGCTGTTGGCTTCGCATCCCACCTCCTCTGGGGCCTTCAGAACACAGCCAGGTGCCTGGTGCTAGGTTGCCACATAGACAGTCTTCAAGTCAACAGGAGATGGACACTCCAGAGATTTATCATATCCTCTGAGTATGAAATTTGGGTTACAGCCAGACACTGGTGGCTCATGCCTGTAATCCTAGCTTCAGGAGGCTGAAATCTAAGGATTGCAGTTCAAAGCCAGCGTGGGTAGGAAAGTCCGTGAGACTGGTGATCAAAGAAAAAGAGAAATTTGGTTTACAATGTTTGGAGCCTAAACCCTATGTCCTTCTTACCTCTCAACACAAGTAGTTTTGCAGTTTTCCAGTGTCGTTACCTTGTTTTCCAGTGATACAGCTGTTGCTCTTAGTTTTCCTGGGGCTTGAGTCTTCAAATGTGACAGGCACAGGCCACAGGCGTGCCAGTGGATCTAATTAACCCTAATTGCAGATGTGGTCATTTCCCAGGGCACCGGTTAGAATTAAGCCCGCATACCTGAATGCTCAAGTTTGGTTGGGTTGGGCTTTTGTCTGTAGCACTGTATCCTGTCCCCTAGCTTTTCTGCTCAAGGCTGGTACTCTACCACTTGAACTACCTCCACTCCCGACTTTTGGCTAATGGCAGATTAAGTTTCGTAGACTTCTCTGCGCAGGCTGGTTTCGGATCGGTCCTCAGATCTCAGCTCCCTGGGTAGCCAGGATTTCAAGTGTCAAGCACAGATCACTTTCACTTCTTCCGTAAACCTGAGGGTGGTCTGCGTTTTAAAGTTACAAGTGTAACTTGTCAGTGTAACTTGTTGCTTTAATTCCAGGGAGAAACCTTTGATGAAAAGGCAAGTGGACACAGACGCAGGGAGGGCCGGGCCGGGGCCCAGACCGGGGCTGCGAGCCGGCGGCAGCCCGGGGCCTCACCCCAAGGGGCAGCGGGAAAGGGGGACGGGCCACCCTCGCCTCCGGCTGCGTCCAGGTCGGCGCTTCTACCCCGGCAACAGGGGATCCCGGCAGGCCCGAGGCTTCCGGGCGGGGCGGAGGCTCGGCTCGCACCTTTAGCGGCCGCGGCCTCCGGACTACACTTCCCAGCATGCTTCGCTCACCGCGCATCCCGCGGCCAGGGGCTGGAAAACGCATGCGCAAGGAGCCTGCGCGTGGGCCCGTGTGGGCGGGGTCGCGGCGGGACGCGGGAAGTCTGGATCCCTACGGCCGCCGCTGCGGTGCCTGGGGTGGGGCGGCGGCGGTGCTAGAGGCGGCCGGAGATGAGCCTGGAGCGCGATCTTCGCCGTGGGTGCCCCGGGGCGCGTGCTAGGACGCCGGGCGGGCGTGGGGCCGAGGCTTAACCCTGGGTTCTTTTCTCTCCCCGTTAGAGCTGAGCAAAGCCAAAGCCAGGGCCCAGAAGAGCGGGCAGCTGCGCGAGGAGGCCGCCTGCTGCCAGCAACTGGGGGAGCTGCTGGC